TATGGTTATACGTGCCTTACTATCTAGAAACTACAATTTTTCAAATCTATATCATAGACCTTATAACTATTTGTGCTCTAAGTTTTACAAACCTACAATATTCAGCCTGTTTGTTTTGGCTTATACGATCGTGGATTATAAGCTGAAACAGTATTTCTCTCACACCAAACCAACCAGCGGTACTTCTAGCTTATAATTTACAGTCGTTTCAGCCGAAACGAACATGCTGATTATGCATGAACCCACATTTGGGACACACAATTTAACATGCGGGTCCATGCATAGCCTATGTGGTTGACATGTGGACCTATATAAAATATTGTAGTATTGTAGAAGTGATTGCACAAATAGTAGTAGTTATGTGAAATTAATCCCAAAAATTATAGTTTTTTATAGTTAGACGTAAGGGCGCGTATAGATGGCGGATTTTTTTGGTTTTGGCTACTGTAGCACTTTCGTTTGTATTTGGTAATTATTGTCTAATTATGGACTAATTAGTATCGAAAGTTTCGTCTCGCGATTTCTCACCCAACTGTGCAATTAGTTTTATTTTTCGTCTATATTTAGTACTCCATGCATATGCCGCAAGATTCGATGTGACACTTTAGGGTGAAAAATTTTGGGAACTAAACATGGCCTAAACAGTTTTTGAGCCTGTAGCAACTGGTGACTTCTATGACGTGACGATGCATGAGGATGTTCGTTGAGAGGCAGCTGCCGGCTTAATTATCAACGTGTAGTAGCTCTCCTTTGAGATTGACTCGGAGCACGTAGCTCCGATTGGATGACGCGGTCACAAATTCCAAGGAGCAAGATTTTTCCACGTGCCGGTAAATTGACCGTAACTTATATCCCCGACAACACGTGGTCACAGCAATAAACGCAACGACCTCGAGGTCCGAAGCGATTATCTTTGAGAGAATCCCTTCCAGAGAAATGACCCGTTCCTTTCGGCCATTAAAAAATTTTCGTTCCCTATTTGACATCGAGTTCAACTTTCATTCCTTATATGACACTCCGTTGGATTTTTCGTCCGTGGACTGTTAACTGCCATGCGAAAAAGACGATTTTACCTTGTGGGCCCCACCACCCTTCTTCTCTCTCTCTCCTCCCTTCTCCTCCTCCTCTGCCACACCACATTGTCGCATTGCTCGCCCATGAGGCCGATGACCATCCCGGCGACGCCGCTGGAGCCGAGGCCCGAGGCCATCACGCGATCGGCGCAGCGGGGGGCTGACTGCCCCGAGCCCTAAAACGCGTGAGGAACGCAGGAAGCCGCCGGAGAAGCGGTTGGCGCCGAGGTCAAGGACGCGGAGGCGGTCGCAGTGGTGTTGGGCCCGGCCGCGCGGGGGGCGGCCCCGTGAGGGCGTTGCCGTGGAGGCGGAGCTCGGTGACGCAATGCAGAGGTTCCATATGGAGGTGGGCAGGTCCCCGCCGAGGCGGTTCTCGGCGAGGTCGAGCCTTGAGAACGACGACGCTGCTGCCGAGCTCGAAGGGACGGGCCCAAGAGGGCGTTGGCGGCGAGGTAGACGGATCGAGCTTGGAGAAGGCGCCGAGGTCCCGGCGGGAGGCGACCAGCAGCGTGGCGGCGGGGAGGCGGATGGAGACGAGGAGGAGAGCGAGGTCGAGGCGAGGGACGAGTTGCGGGAGGAGGAGGAGGCGTCGCAGTCAAGGGGCCGACCGTCAGGTTGGAGGTGGGCGAGCAGCGTGACCAACCGTCGGGGTTGGAGGTGGGCCGGCCTCATGGGCGGGAGGCCAGCCAGCGTCTGGCGTGCCAAGCAAGAGAGGAGGGAGAAGGGGAGAGAGAGAGAGAAGGGTGGTGGGGCCCCTGAGGGGTAAAATCGTCTTTTCGCATGGCAGTTAACGATCCACGGACGGAAAATCCAACGGAGTGTCATATAAGGAATGAAAGTTGAACTCGGTGTCAAATAGGGAACGAAAATTTTTTGAGGGCAAAGAAAGGAACGAGTCATTTCTCTGATGTCAAATAAGAAATTCTCTCATTACCTTTTGTGGCCCGATGCAGCGATAAAGGCGAATAAAGATAGATCAATTAAGGGGTGTTTGGATCCGGCACCGGCTACTAAAATTTAGAAGGTGTGTTGGGAGGATGTTGCATGGGTGTTCGGATACTAAAAAACAAATTACATAATCCGGCAGCACTCCACGAGACGAATTTACTGTAGCAAAACATTGTCAAATAATAGACTAATTAGACTTAAAAGATTCGTCTTGCAAATTAGTCGCAAACTATACAATTAGCTTCGTAATTAGTCTATATTTAATACTCCATGCATGTGTCCAAACATCCGATGGAACAGCGACTAAAATTTAGAAGAGAGGCAACCAAACACCCCCTAAGAATCCTAGAACATCGTACGTCCTTCGGGCGCCCTACAATGATTCGATGTAAAAACAATCTACGACCAACAGATACCACCAAGATAGTAAAGATAGATCAATTAAGAATACTAGAACATCAGACGCCCTTCGGGTGCCCTAAAAATCAGCCTGTTCGCTTGGTCGTAAACGATCGTAAATTTTCAACCGGAACAGTATTTTTCTCTCACACCAAACCAGCTAGCAGTAATAATCCACGATCGTTCAGCCCCAGCCGAACAGGCTGAATGATTCTAGGAAAAAACAATCTACGACCAACAGATACCACCAAGATACTAAGCATAATTTTCACCACTATTATCATAGCATCAGATTAAAATAGATCAGAGTGGAGTATTAGATACTTAGCACAAATCATGAAGCATTTGCATATAACACGAGTTGTATGGCCATTGCAACCGCTACGGTTCTGTTCAGCCGTAGATTACATGATCCTTTGTTACATGTGTGGCTATGATCCTTCATTACATGTATGGCTACCACAGCCATTATGGTTCTATCTGGACATACATTACATGCCCATCTGTCACAAATGAGCTTGAATTGTTGTAGAAACTTCTTTCTACATCTATTAGTTGCTGCTAGTTAGTATTTATTTAATTAGTGTCTGCTTGAACACAGAATCATAAGACGAAATGAAATAGTCAGCCTCAAAGCATATAAGATCAAGTATATCCCATCATCATATTCACTCAAAGCATTAGGGTAGGCTTCATTGTAATCCTCAATCTACATTTGTGAGAAAACGACCAGATCAACAAGACAAGAGATCAGCATAAAAAAAAAGGGGGACGGTGTGCCCAAGATGAGCAATTAAATGACTCAGGCAGAACAATGACAGAAATAATAGGCAAGCTAGAATAAATGATGTGAAGTACAGGGCCTTGCAAGATTTCATCTACAGGGAAAACGAAAGTAGCTTTCAAAGGATAACTGCATTGCCATTTGGAATCAGTACTCCTTATCTGAGAACAGAGAAACATGCAAGTGTAGGGTCAGGGGCAGCTAGCATCGGATTGGCACAAGTCCACTGCTTCTGTGCATAAGTATAAGCATCAAGCATATATAAGCATTCGGTGAGTGCCTAAAAACATCTCGATACAAATGAATGTGGTGGACGGATGAAAAATAACAACAATGTCAAATTTACTAACACAAAATTGCCTGATTAATATTATGATAAAATTGCCAGGCTGTACTGCAGAGCAACCCCTCTAGCCGCATCATGAGCTTTAGGCTTCTCATTTCTCTTGTTTTGGAGACTCCCAAGGCGACAGGAAGAATTGAGTATGAGTATGGATCGTGAATAAATATTATGTAATCCTGTAGTTGTTTGTATCAACGTTTCCCCCGTGTGAATGAGAAAGAACAACGGCGGTTTCTTTTCGTGCTCTAGGTTTTTTGTGTGAAAGGAGGATTCATATTTTAAGCACTTTATCCCTTCACTCTGATAAACGGAAAGATTCAGATACTAAACATCTTATCACTTCCTGAGCTTCTTTTTTTTCATTATTGAGAAGAGTCGTGACCCGCCCAGCTTACTACTAGCCTAGTACCAACAAATATTGCAGGGCAACGTCAGGACGAAAAGGAACCGATGCCACTCTATAACAAGAATACATAGGAGCTCAGCTCAGGCTGCTTACCAACGAATTTGACAGTGTCATGATTTCGTCAGTAATCCAAGGCTGTCAGGTACCTAGTAACAAGATGGATCAAATCTCCTTTGTATATGTCTCATCATTATCAAAGATGATGTAAAATTTGAGGCAAAGGAGACCATGAAATTGCTATAATCTATTTTCAGGGTCTTAATATGTCTGCAAGTGCTTTCGAAGAACGTTTCTAGTGCTTGCAATATCGCTTACTGACGTACAATCCAGGCATTGTTAAAAGAATCAGGGATTAAAGGATGCACACAAACTCAATGACAAGTCCCTTTTTACAGCATAGTTTTAGAGTTGTAAGGCAATATTTTGCAGCATAGTTTTATAAAGCTGATCCAAATTTACCTTCAAGTTGTGAGACCTGAAGAAAGCTGCTAGCCTATTACATAAACCAGGTAGCATATCACTCCACCGTAAACTTTCGCACTGATGATCGAATAACAGTAGCTTAACAACCGCAGTAAATGTAGAATACATATGTTTTGCAGCAGTAGGACTGACTAGCCGAACTTGTTCTGAATGTCAGTGCCTTCGAGCTCACCTTCCAAATGTAACATCTTCTCCATCACCATGAGCAGCTCGGGCCATTCATAATACAGAGTTTCCTCAATATCGTCGTCGTTATTGTACTGATGCAAGTGGCTCCTTACATTTCTGTTGAGGCGCAGTAGATCAAGTGGAGTCCTTTTGTACTCGTTTTGGACACCCTCAACCCACTGTTCGATTTTTGTATTTGCCTTGGCAGTATCCAACCAGTCGTTCTGGTAAGGGAGGCTAGAGAGTATCCTCTTCTTCTTTGCTGTGTTTGTACGGCCAAGAGATTTAACAATTTTATTGTGTAGCATCAGGAATACCTCAGTGCTGTGAACACAAGTAACAAAATGAGACTGGCGGCAAAGACGATAAGTCGATAACACTGAGTCAAAGAATTACCGGTTTTTCATGGGCAGCAGCGCAACATTGTTTACAATCAAGAATTCATCTTTCATTGCAAGGGTGTCCCTCTTCAAGAGCATGAGGAATTCCACGTAGTCCGGAGGCAATTTGGTGATATCCCCAGCCGATAATTTAATCAACATAATCAGGACCTTGAGAAGGTGCTTGTAGTCATCTCTCACACGCTCAATACTGAAGCCTTTACCAGTGAAACTGACCCCCCTGAGCTTGACACTCCCATTGTCCCCAATCCAGACGTGGGACACCTGCAGAGGAGCTGTGAGGTACTTGCCAACTGAGTGCTGGCTCCTCAGTATCAATGCAAGTTTTCTGCTGATCCTAGTCGCTTTGTCAGATAATCGCCAGAATTTCTTCGTTGTTCCTAATATTGGGACCTGGATCAGCATCTTGTTGGCTATGGCGTAGCTCAATGAGTCGCGCAGACTCTCTGCAGACGACTCGTCAATGTCCTCGGTCCTAGGAACACAGAGAGCACGATGAGTCTGGCCACAAAGATAATAAAACTGTTAGAATAGCACCCTAATGGGCTGGCCTTGGGCCTGGCGCCTAGCCTGTTAGGCTGGCTGCCTTAGGGGTTAAGATAGATAGATTACATTGATAAGGCAAAGATCACCGTTGATCGGGTGTTTCTATAAACCCTATTGATCCTAACCTATATATTGTACCCTGTACTGCTGTTAATCTATCAATCAATTCTCGAGACCTATTTGCTCTCATGGTATCAGCCGCCTAGGTTTAGGTCTCCTCTTCCGCTGCCCACTCCACGCACGCCGGCCCCTCGCCGCGCTGTGCCCCTCCGCGCGCCGGTATCCACCGTGCTGCGCCACCATGCCCTCCACCCCTCCAGCAACCCCCAGGGCTGGGGGCGATCTAGACGCCTCCTCTGCCACCATCCAGGCAGACGTCATCGCCCAACGCCTCGCTGCGGAGAAGGCCAACGAGGCCGCCGCCGCTGCTCAGCGTCTCGAGCGCGAGCGTCAGGCTGCGCGTGATGCTGCCCTAGCACGCGCCCTACAGGCCGAGGAGGAGGCCACAGCCGTGACTAAGGATCGCGACGCCGCCGCCCAGCGCACTAGCGAGGCACTGGCGCGCGCTGCCAAGGAGCGGGCGGCCGCTGTTGCTCCGGAACCCTCTGGCGCCGCACCTGGAGGCACTTCAGCGCCGCCACCCGATCTTCGGGCTGCCATGCTGCATCACGAGGCCGTTGCCCTTCTGCAGTTCCATGCTCAGGCTGTTGCGGTCAGCAACATCCGGAACCATGTCACCACCATCATCTCCGCCCAGGGCTCCATCGCTCGGCATGCCTGGCTCGCCGTCGAGTCGCAGTTCCTTGGCAACCGCGAGGCTCGCTCCATCCACCTTGAGATGCGGTTTCGCAACTTCGTCCAGGGCGACCTCTCCGTCACCGACTACAACCGCAAGCTGAAAAAGATGGCCGATGATCTCACGGCCCTTGGCGAGGTCGTCACCGACCGCACGCTCGTCCTCAACGTGATCCGCGGCCTCAACGAGCGCTTCAGCCACGTTGGGAGGCTCCTTCATCGCGCTCGACCGTTCCCCACCTTCCTAGAGGCTCGTGACGACCTCATCCTCGAGGAACTCACCATGGAGACCCGCAAGGATGCACCTGCCACTGCGCTCGCCGCCTCCACCACTCCCAGCCCTGCCCCTGCATCCTCCGGCACGGGCGCTGGTGGGAACATTAAGCTGCCTAACAACCGTCATAGCAAGCGCGGCGGTGGCGGCAAAGGCAACAGCGGCGATGGCCCTCCTGGACAGGGGTCACGCCCCACTGGTGGCGCACAACAACAGCAGCAGCAGCCGGCCGGTGGGTGGCCATGGCCCAGTGTCTACAACCCCTGGACCGGGACCATTCAGATGTGGCCAGGGGGACCTCGTCCACCGCTGGCACCCATCCCAGTGCCTCCTCACTTGCAGGCGCAGCAGCAGGCACAACAACACGCGCAGCAGCAGGCCTTCCTCGCCCAACAGCAGCAGCACGCCCTTGCTGCCCACCAGCAGGCCGCTGCCCTCCCTGCTCCTGATGGCACTAGACAGTGGGTCGCCCCCGGGTATTACAACCCGATGGCCGGCCTCCCCTCTTGGGACCCGACGGCCCTCGCCTTCGTCTTCAGCATAATGTCGCTGACCCCTCCTACGTCCAACGAGTGGTACTTCGACTCAGGTGCTACTTCACATATGACATCTCAGTCCTCCTCTCTTTCACATGTTCTTCTCCCGTAGTACCCTACTCCTTCATCCATTATTGTCGGTAATGGCTCTCTTCTTCCTGTCACTGCCACTGGCTCTACAGAGTTGTCTCGTAATTTACGTCTTAATAATGTCCTTGTGTCACCACAAATTATTAAGAATCTTATCTCTGTTCGCCAATTTACTACCGACAATAATTGTTCTGTTGAGTTTGACCCCGCTGGTTGTTCTGTGAAGATTCTTCCATCTCGGACCGAGATCGTCAGGTGCAATAGCTCTGGGCCGCTATACCCTCTGCGCCTACCACCAGCATGAGTCCACCTCTCGTGCGTCTAGCAAGTTTGATCTTATACATTATGATTTATGGACCTCTCCAGTTGTCAGCATTTCTGGTTATAAATACTACTTGGTCATACTTGATGATTGCACTCATTATTTGTGGACGTTTCCTTTGCGGCTTAAATATGACACTTTTAGCACACTTGCTCACTTCATCGCTCATGCCTCCACCCAGTTTGGTGCCCGGGTCAAGGCTGTTCAGTGCGACAACGGGAGAGAGTTTGACAACTCTAGCTCCCGTCAGTTTTTCCTCGCTTAGGGCATCCACCTTCGCATGTCCTGTCCCTACACATCGTCTCAAAACGGTAAAGCTAAACGCATTATTCGCTCCATCAATAATGTTGTTCGCTCACTGCTCTTTCAGGCGTCCATGCCTCCATCCTACTGGGTAGAGGCCCTCTCTACAACACTGTTCTGCTCAACATATTGCCTACCAAGACTCTACAGTTTTCCACGCCGCACCTTGCCCTGTTCGGCAAGCCACCAGCATATGATCATATACGAGTCTTCGGTTGCAAATGTTACCCAAACATGTCGGCTACTGCACCCCACAAACTCGCCCCTAGGTCTGTCCTGTGTGTCTTCCTAGGCTATTCCGCTCATCACAAAGGGTACCGCTGCCTTGACCTCTCCTCCAATAGAGTCATCGTCTCCCGGCACGTCATCTTCGATGAAACGGCCTTTCCCTTTACTGAGCGCCATGGTCCTAGTGCTCAAGCGGACCTACAGTTCCTCGATGACGATACTACTGACCCTGTGCTCCCTCCTATTGGACCGATGCACAAGTTTTTGTCTGCAGGAACACCACCTAGCACCGCTGCTAGTCTTCAGCGCCCCTGCCGGTCCCACTACGACTGTGCCTGGGGCGCCCCTGCCTGCTGATGATGCTGATGATCCACCGGCGCCCGCGCTCTACATTCCACCAACGCTGCGGGCGTCGGGGACATCTACCACGCCACGCGCGGCCACCAGGACCACCTCTCCCGCGCCACGCGCGGCCACGACGTTGCCCAGCACGCCTAGAGAGGCCTCCCCGCTCTACATCCCGCCTGCCCTGCGTACAGGCGCAGGACCCCCGCCCGGGTTCCCACCTCTCCGATCGGATCTGGACTTCACGTACCACTACATGCGTCGACCCCGACCGCTGGCTACTCCTATACCAGCCGCCCCGACACCACCTGCTCCGGCTGCTCCTGCACCGGCCGCCCCGCTACCTAAGGGCGCCGTTGCTGTCACTCCAGTGACGAACCAGCATGCTATGGGCACGCGGTCGAAGAGCGGCTATCGGATGCCTGCTGCCTACCACACCGGCCCCCTCTCTGCAGTGCCAAAGACCTTTCATAGCGCTCTCGCAGACCCCAATTGGTGAGCTGCTATGGAAGAAAAGCACAGTGCTCTCTTGCAGAATCACACTTGGGACCTCGTGCCTCGACCTCCTAGGGCCAACGTCGTCTCTGGCAAGTGGATTTTCAAGTACAAGTTTTAGTCCAATGGCTCCCTTGAGCGGTACAAGGCACGCTGGGTTCTTCGTGGCTTTACCCAGCGGCCTGGTGTTGACTTCGATGAGACGTTGAATCCTGTGGTGAAGCCCGCTACTGTCCGCACGGTGCTCTCCTTGGCGCTCTCTCGCACCTGGCCATCCACTAGCTAGATGTGAAGAACGCCTTCCTTCATGGCAATCTGTCTAAGATTGTGTGTTGCCAGCAGCTGTCCGGGTTCGAAGATCTAGCTCACCCAGACTTTGTCTGTCTTCTAAAGAAATCCCTATATGGCCTGAAGCAGGCTCCTCGCGCATGGTACAGCCGGATGGCCTCATTCCTGCTGTTTATTGGGTTTGTTGAAGCCAAGTCAGACACCTCACTTTTTATTTACCAGCGTGGATCAGATACAACCTACCTGTTGCTCTATGTGGGTGACATTGTCCTCACAGCTTCCTCACCCGGTCTCCTTCTGCGGATTATCTCAGCGCTTTAGTAGGAGTTCGCCATGAAAGACCTCGGTGCTTTGCATCACTTCCTTGGTATGCAGGTTCAGCGAAGTGGTGATGGCCTCCTCCTCTTACGGTGACAGTATATGCTGGACATTCTGGAACGTGTAGGGATGACAGAGTGCAAGCCGTGCTCCACTCCAGTTGACACTAATCCAAAGGTTGCTGCAGCTGATGGGGCCCCTGTGCCTGATGCTACAGACTTCCGCAGCCTTGCCGGAGCTCTCCAGTACCTGACGTTCACCCACCAAGACATTGCATATGCAGTTCAGCAGGTCTGCCTCCACATGCATGATCCTCGTGAGCCTCACCTTGCTGCCCTGAAGAGGATTCTTCGCTACGTTCAAGGCACTCTTCAGCTTGGTCTCCTGCTGCGACTGTCTACTTCAATTGATCTTGTCGTCTACACCGACGCTGACTGGGCTGGTTGTTCGGACACTCGCAAGTCCACCTCAGGCTATGCGGTGTTCCTTGGCGACAACCTTGTTTCCTGGTCCTCGAAGCGCCAGAACATAGTGTCAAGATCCAGTGCTGAAGTCGAGTATCGCGCGGTGTTCAACGGAGTTGCAGATGCTACTTGGCTCCGCCAGCTACTTCTGGAGTTGCATACCCCTCTACGACGCGCCACACTGGTGTATTGTGACAACATCAGTGCCATCTATATAACCTCCAATCCGGTTCAGCATCAGCGCACCAAGCACATTGAGATCGATCTTCACTTCGTCCGGGAGCGAGTCGCCGTTGGTGATCTTCGTGTTCTGCATGTTCCCACCTCTTTGCAATATGCCGATATCTTCACCAAATGGTTGTCTACTTCAGTTTTCACGGAGTTTAGGTCCAGTCTAAACGTGCACAGTGGCTGACGATTCGACTGCGGGGGCGTATTAGAATAGGCGCCCTAATGGGCTGGCCTTGGGCCTGACGCCTAGCCTGTTAGGTTGGCTGCCTTAGAGGTTAAGATAGATAGATTACATTGATAAGGCAAGGATCACCGTTGATTGGGTGTTTCTATAAACCCTATTGATCCTTACCTATATATTGTACCATGTACTGCTGCTAATCTATCAATCAATTTCCGAGACCTATTCGCTCTCAAAAACTGAATCGATGGAGCAGGGAGAAATTTCTCGCAATTATCTCGAATGTCATTATGCGAAGTGCCCAAGTTTCTATGGCGTGCCGCCTATATCATGCTTGGTGTTCCTCCTCCGCTCAGTTCAGAACATTTGTTCACTAACTGGCGGCGCTCATTTGGGCAATTTGGCTACGAGAAATGACACTATTCTTTATAAGTGCAGACCAAAATCTTATTTTGCAGGTTTTATACTCACTGGCTGTGGTGTTGGGCTCTGTTGCAACACACGGCTGCTGTGTTGGGCTCTGTTGCAACACGCGGATGACCAAAGGAATGATTTGGTTTGGATATGTCAGATCCTAGAGTCAAGTATTATGCAGTTCTTCGCGTATCATGGATGGCCTTTTTTGTTTCAGATTTCACAATACTACAACTCTCTCCATCCTAAATTATAAGTTATTCCAATAATCTTGAAGAGTCAAAGCATTTCAAGTTTACCAAAAATTATAGAAAAAATTACAAAGGTTTATGACATCAAATAGATAATATGAAAATATAATTAATAAAGAACCTAATGACACTTAGTTAGTATCATAAATGTTATTATCTTATCGTATAAATTTAGTCAAACTCGAGATGTTTGATCCTCCAAGATTTTTGGAATGACTTCTAATTTAGGATGGAGGGAGTATTTTGGTTCTTAGTGTGTGTGGAACTTTGGTTTGCTTGTAATAAATTTGGATCGATGCCTTTCTTTGAAGAGGACGGAAGCCGCGACCTTTTCATTTCATTATCAAAAAATCTGAAGAAGCAACAAAGAGCAGCATCTTACTTGTATTGATATTGAGAAGCCACCACTCTGTTGGCAGGCACCCCATTGCTCGTCTCCTGGTGTCCAGTGTTTGAACCAGCAGCACCTTGCCGCTCGGAGAGGAGGGAGCTGAATCCGACGACGGAGATGCGGCCGCCGGGAGCCGCGACGGCGGCAAAGTCCGCGGGGGAGGTGAGTTCCCGGAAGGAGCCACCCCCACGGGGTGCGGCGGCGGCCTTCGCGGCTGGAGGAGGCAACGGGCGGCTCGAGCGGATTGGTTCATGAGGATCCTCTTCCGTTTCTTTTCGACAAAAAAGAATAATCTCATTTTTATTATTTAAAAAATAAATCTATTGTCATGGGAAGATCGTCAAAGCCTGAGATCCCTCGTATTCCTAATCCAAATTAAGACAAGCGCACATAAGGCGATCTACACGATTTGTCAGAGGATCGGATGACCTTGGTCAAAAAGAAAAAAAAAAATCACAACCTTTGATCCTGGTAAGGTAAATTTTACTAAGAATTAAATGTCAATCTAGACTCTGGAGCTCTGCATATGTTGTCAAGGATTTAACTTATTATTATTACTGTACTAAATTAAATGGGGACATATGGAATTGAGACCACCAGCCGCTGCAGCCGGCAGTGTCCGAACAAGCACACACACGATAGCAGGACCCTAAAAGGGCAAGGAGACGAGGCAAGAACACTGTATGTTACTGGCAATATTTTGTGAACACTGATATGGATTCGAACCTGCATCAGGCAGCCGCCGACGGCGAAGCCGAGGACAAAGCCGAGGACGCCGAAGCCGAGGGTGTTTCCCATGGTGGATCCTGGATCGCTATCTAGCCGCTGCTGCTTCACTTGTTCAGCTACCGAGCTTAGAGCGAGCCGCAAGAGGTGAGGGAAGAGTAAGGGAAAGGTAGTGGGACTGGAGAAGACAGAGGATACTAGAGCGGAACCATCCAGTTCGGTACTGCTTGCTGCCGCTGCACCTGCAGCTGCTGCAACTAAGCCTCTGGTATAGCTCCAGCTTAAGAAAATCCGTAGATTTTTTAAGCTCACTATTTGTACCTTCATAAATTCGTGAAGCTGGAGCTGTGACCAAATAGAGGCTACTTATATTCTCATTTTAAAGAAAATAAGAATATCTAAATCCATTTATTTTATACTACAAACCCCAGCTACAGCATGAATCTCGGTTCTTGCAACTGGACTCTATAGCAGCGGCTGCAGCTGCAGCTGCAGCTCGCAGCGCTGTGCAGCATGCACAAACGAATAAAAGTGCTTTTTGGCCAGACAACTTTTTATTAAATGTACATGAAAAAGTTAGCACGAAGATTCTCGGCCCCAAATTTTTTTATAGAGTTAATGTCATATAACTATGGTTATACGTGCCTTACTATCTAGAAACTACAATTTTTCAAATCTATATCATAGACCTTATAACTATTTGTGCTCTAAGTTTTACAAACCTACAATATTCAGCCTGTTTGTTTTGGCTTATACGATCGTGGATTATAAGCTGAAACAGTATTTCTCTCACACCAAACCAACCAGCGGTACTTCTAGCTTATAATTTACAGTCGTTTCAGCCGAAACGAACATGCTGATTATGCATGAACCCACATTTGGGACACACAATTTAACATGCGGGTCCATGCATAGCCTATGTGGTTGACATGTGGACCTATATAAAATATTGTAGTATTGTAGAAGTGATTGCACAAATAGTAGTAGTTATGTGAAATTAATCCCAAAAATTATAGTTTTTTATAGTTAGACGTAAGGGCGCGTATAGATGGCGGATTTTTTTGGTTTTGGCTACTGTAGCACTTTCGTTTGTATTTGGTAATTATTGTCTAATTATGGACTAATTAGTATCGAAAGTTTCGTCTCGCGATTTCTCACCCAACTGTGCAATTAGTTTTATTTTTCGTCTATATTTAGTACTCCATGCATATGCCGCAAGATTCGATGTGACACTTTAGGGTGAAAAATTTTGGGAACTAAACATGGCCTAAACAGTTTTTGAGCCTGTAGCAACTGGTGACTTCTATGACGTGACGATGCATGAGGATGTTCGTTGAGAGGCAGCTGCCGGCTTAATTATCAACGTGTAGTAGCTCTCCTTTGAGATTGACTCGGAGCACGTAGCTCCGATTGGATGACGCGGTCACAAATTCCAAGGAGCAAGATTTTTCCACGTGCCGGTAAATTGACCGTAACTTATATCCCCGACAACACGTGGTCACAGCAATAAACGCAACGGCCTCGAGGTCCGAAGCGATTACCTTTTGTGGCCCGATGCAGCGATAATGGCGAATAAAGATAGATCAATTAAGAATACTAGAACATCATACGCCCTTCGGGTGTCCTAAAAATCAACCTGTTCGCTGGGTCGTAAACGATCATAAATTTTCAGCCGGAATAGTATTTTTCTTTCACACCAAACCAGCCAGCAGTAATAATCCACGATCGTTCAGCCCCAGCCGAACAGGCTGAATGATTCGAGGAAAAAACAATCTACGACCAGCAGATACCACCAAGATACTAAGCATAATTTTCACCACTACTATCATAGCATCAGATTAAAATAGATCAGAGTGGAGTATTAGATACTTAGCACAAATCATGAAGCATTTGCACATAACACGAGTTGTATGGCCATTGCAACCGCTACGGTTCTGTTCAGCCGTAGATTACCTGATCCTTCATTACATGTATGGCTATGATCCTTCATTACATGTATGGCTACCACAGCCATTATGGTTCTATCTGGACATACATTACATGCCCATCTGTCACAAATGAGCTTGAATTGTTGTAGAAACTTCTTTCTACATCTATTAGTTGCTGCTAGTTAGTATTTATTATTAGTGTCTGCTTGAACACAGAATCATAAGACGAAATGAAATAGTCAGCCTCAAATTATATAAGATCAAGTATCTCCCATCATCATATTCACTCAAAGCATTAGGGTAGGCTTCATTGTAATCCTCGATCTACATTAGTGAGAAAACGACCAGATCAACAGAAGACAAGAGATCAGCATAAAAAAAAGGGGGACGGTGTGCCCAAGATGAGCAATTAAATGACTCAGGCAGAACAATGACAGAAATAATAGGCAAGCTAGAATAAATGATGTGAAGTACAGGGCCTTGCAAGATTTCATCTACAGGGAAAACGAAAGTAGCTTTCAAAGGATAACTGCATTGCCATTTGGAATCAGTACACCTTATCTGAGAAGAGAGAAACATGCAAGTGTAGGGTCAGGGGCAGCTAGCATCGGATTGGCACAAGTCCACTGCCTCTGTGCATAAGCATAAGCATCAAGCATATATAAGCATTCGGTGAGTGCCTAAAAACATCTCAATACAAATGAATGTGGTGGACGGATGAAAAATAACAACAATGTCAAATTTACTAACACAAAATTGCCTGATTAATATTATGATAAAATTGCCAGGCTGTACTGCAGAGCAACCCCTCTAGCCGCATCATGAGCTTTAGGCTTCTCATTTCTCTTGTTTTGGAAACTCCCAAGGCGACAGGAAGAATTGAGTATTTGTATGTCCTCTTGGTGTGACGCCTCCTTTTGACAACTTTAGCATTATTGTCCTATAGTTAGTTAGTTACACATTTGAGTACAACATCTCAAGAAATAAAACAGCATGGTAGAAACAAATCAACAATGGATATGATAGGAGTTTAAGTCACTGATAGCACCTAACTAAGTTTTGATGCACGAACTTAAGATAAAATTCAACCAAACAGAACTTTTATCCAAGTTGTGCAACTAAAGTGGACCAAACGTCATAAACAATTAGAGGTATCTAAAATTAACTATATTAGTATGTAAACATGCCCTATGGCAGCAAACTTGTTGACATCCATGCATCAATGCCCTTTCCTTGTTAGTAGTTTTCGTAACATACTTCTATCATAAATAGCAGGAGGACACCATGCTATAATATCCAAGGCTTTTGCTGGTACATAAGCACCTTGGGAATATGAAAACCATGTTACCTTTATTGCAGATTGCAGATGGGAAATAAATTCTATCATAACTTGATGCCAACACCACAGGCCTTCAGAATGCTTTTTAATGGTGCCAGCCTATAATTCACAGCACAGTAAGGTCTTTCTAGGCTGATGGGAAACTAATACAAACCCAGCCAAGCATTATGGACAATAAGGAGCCCTCACTCCATGGAATCTTTTTTTAGTCCATCCATCATATGGTCAAGATCAATGCAAACAAAAAAATGTTCTGAATATATGACCAGAACATAGCATGGTTCCAGAGGCAGTAAACCAGAGATTTCCAGAGGACAGGGCACCCACCTCTGGAAATAGTCAAACAGATTAGAAAAAAAATAGCAGGAGGACATCATCAGTGTTGTTGCTGCCTCCTATCCTGCATGACGTCTGTAACGTGCGCCATGATTCCACCACTGCCGCAGGAGGAGCAACAAGTCAGGAAAATGGAGTAGCAATGCCAAACAGAGCAAAGCACTCCAAACCCAATGAACAAAAAATAATCCAACGAACAAAGCAAAGTGCTCCAAATCCCATCACGCACCACAAGATGAACTGTGGAAATGCATGTGACACCATAAACAAACATATATGTATATAACTGAATGACTCCATATACGACATGATGGCCTGCAAATGTATTATTTACGCTTAACAGATTAATTTCTGCCTATATATACCAAAACCATCGACAGATTGCTACGTTCAGCTCGTAACTTGGAGTGCCATGGCTTAATTGGCACCATCAATTTGTGTATTTTAATGCAATGCTTACAGCTAATGAAGGAATCCAAAGAATTGCGTAAGCTATGTTGTAAAAGTCTGAGGTACCTACAAGATTGCAGAGAACTACAGTAGTTGAGCGACCCTCGAGATTATGCGTAAATATTGCAAGGAACTAAAGCAAGCCAAACTCACAATCTCACTTTCCCGTGCACCACCTCAATGGTCTCGAGATCTATGTGCAGGCTTTCTATGCGAGTCAAAGAAAGTGCAAAATTAAATTGTGATGAGGAAAGAATTTGTGCTTGCTGATAGCTCACACTGAAAGCGGAAGTAGCAGCACAGGTGCGACCGTGCGAGCAGTCCAACCACAAGCTGCAGATTTAATACCTGAGTAGGAGACCGCATATTAATCTGGAGAGAACTCTCCATTAACCATCTCCGCCACTGCTGTGTGCAAGTGGTGGAGGCCAGCCGGATCCGCAGCCGTCAAGGCTGGATCCCGTCGGATCCACTCGCAGGGTGCGCTCCTGGGGCCTCCGGACATGGGAACCCTCCTCCGTAGGTGAGGCCCGTGGACACCTCGATGCCAGTGTTGTGCCATTATAAAAGTGAGCAATTATTCGTAAGTTATTAAAAAAATTTGAGTTCTCATGGACACTCTGCTATGAATTTTTTTTTATCCTTCACATCATTTTTCGTCAGATTTGATTGTAACGGTGTCAAAACCATAAACGTGAAAAATTAAAAATACTATGAGATCTGAATATACAATTAATTTTTTTTATATCATAATGACCTTAAATAAAAAAACTCAAAACTAAAAAGTTGTAGATCTCGATAATACCTATAATTTTAGTATAAAAATTATATTTATTATTTCTATACAAAAAGATATGATTTGATATAACTAATATATCTTAAAAAAGTCACATTTTTGTACGGAATCAAATGAAGATAGTTTTTATATAAATATTATAGATCTCAACGATTGTTCTTCATAAAACTAGTTTTGTGAGGAGCTAAAACGACTATTATTTTTCACAAAACTAGTCTTGTGA